AAAAAAATATGGCTCATATGTTCTAATTATATGGCAATGTCTTATTAGTAGCAATTATATATATTTAATTGGATAATTAGTCGAGGATTGATTACATTTTATATGAAAAAACGTGTAGCATTAATAAAGAAATGAATGCTAGTATCAAAAATAGGTCGAGAAGCCAACCCAACCTCCTTCGAACCCAACTTTATTTGTATTTTATCTCTCTTCCTCTCAAATTATCTTTTACATACATATTTTCGCATTACAAAAGTTAGCACGCACGACATCCAAGGAATTTTGGAGTGAAAATCTAACAAATTAATTTATTCGATTTACATTTATCTTTTTTCCATACGACTGTAAGTGTATTAGTATTAGTTGTTCTTTTATCATTTAAATTACTGAAGTTTATTTATGAATATGATAATACAAAAATTCAATTTATGATTGTGATAAAGGTCCTATATGTGCAAGTTCAAAGGACTGAAATTTAGTAGCATTTTGCACGAAAATTATAGCCACAATGTTGGAATTTTAATTTCCGTGTCTTCATATGTATATTATGATTTTTCTGTATTTAAATATGAGATACAATTTGTTATTACTCATTAATTGAGACTTATGTTTGACATTTATATGTTAAATATTTTATAGATAACTAAGAAGACAGGGTTCAAGGCGATCAGAGGTCAATTGTGTTTGCATGGGTGAAAAATGAAAAATAAGCTCCTATCTATCCTGATTAAATTGCATTTCATTATTCTCTCACCTACTTTCAACCCCAAAATCCTCCATTAAATAATATTATTCGTAAATCGAAAACCTTTCCTTCTTTTTTACCACTCATTGAAAAAAAAAAAGTGCTACTCTACCCATTTTCATTTCAAAAAATGGAGGCCAAACGGAGACTAAGTAATTAAAGATTTTAATAATATTCATTGTATATATTTTTTTAAACTAATTTTAAACCCTCGCATATTCAGAAAATATTATGTTTTTCTTTGTTTATGAAAGTATTACGGTATATGTATAATGATTCTAATGGTAAAAATTTGGGTCGTTACAAAACTCTAGAAAGTTAAAGAGCAAGCAATGTGGTGACACTTGAAGAGAGAAATATAGAAGATATCTATAGGATTTAAAAAAAAAAAAAAAAACAGAGTCCTCCTATCCATATCTATCCGCTCCAACATGAACTCAGTACAAAAATTGTACATCGCAAACCAAATATTCATACCATTGCTGCAAATGGTCCTTCCAAACTTATTGAATGACAGTCCATTTCAACATCGCATTTCCCAGAAAATCAAAGACTTCGTGCTCCACCTCAAAGAAGATTATCTCAAACTCTTATGGCATGTTCGGCAAAAACAATTGGATGGTCCTGGACAAGTATTAAGGAAGAAAAATTATTTAAAAACTTGTTCATTTACTGTTCAAATTTGTCTAATACTCCTAACCAAACATGCCCTTAGATTCTTGGTATCCTACTCCTTATCAATTCTTCAGTTGCTTTCGCAGCTCCCAATAATTTTCTACCTTCAGGTCACAACAATATTCCACACTTAATTTCCCTTTTCTCAAATTCAGTCCCACCCTATTTTTCAAGAAATTTCCTTCCCCTTGATGATGTTGGTGTTTCCATCAGTATCAGTTACATCGCTGTTTCAGTAGATTCCTCTTCATTCTTCAAGGGCTCAGTTTCTTTAGCTACTGATATAACCTGGAGAAGTTCCAAAGGAGTAGCTGCAGGGTCCAATTCCCAACAACCCTTGGGAGCATTTGTCCCTTCCTGACCAGTGAGTAACCGGGACGGTACCTGATGAGAAAACCGAGACATTTCTTCCCTGGGGATTCTTCTAATTTCCCTTGGGCTCTGAAGCTGATGGAAAATTGCTTTATAGCCAGCAACTTTAACTAGAGGAATCACAACGACGCCCAGTTCCTCATTATAGTCTTCAAGTACTTTCACCATGTCATATTTATGTATTACTACGTCTTCTGTGAGTTCATTCCATTCGGCCGACCAATTCCTGTACAGAGCCCAAACTTCCCCCTTCTGAGGAAGTATCTGGATTGTCCCATCAGTGACTTTCGTCCATTTGACCTTGTGTGAGAATGAGTCGATAAAGTTTCTAATTCCAAGTTTGCCTATTCCATAAACCCCACACGTTTTCGAAAAACCAGAATCAAACCACTTATTGGCTTTTGAATTAAGCCAACTGATTTGCACCTCAAAAGGGTTTAAAGAAATCACCTTACGAATCATGACATAATACCGTGGCATCCCATCATCATCATCATACACAGCCCACACCTGCCGATCTCTGAAACACCTTGCCATTCTGTCACTGTCAAAATCATGAAAATCTGAATCTGGCACATGAATTGATATTTGCTTAATTGGTTCCATATCAGCACCTAAATTGAGCTTATTCAGAGGAATTTGACTATTAGCCTTGACTAGCTCGTTCTGTTCCAATTTGGTACCATTTGTAACACTGTTTTCTTTTTCACATGATGTTTCCTTTCCTACATTATCTACAGAAGCTTCATTAGCTGATGTCGTCTTGGGAGCACTAATGGAGGTCCAGTCATTTAACTTCTGACGTATTTCACTTTGAACCTTCTCTATCAGCAACTGTTTAAAGTCAACATTGCAATTCAACTTCTTCAATGTATCCTTGTTTATACCACAATCTTCAACTCCTTTTCTTCTCTTCACAGCATTAGAGTGCCCAAAGGATCTGCCATCATTTGTTCTTTTAGAGGAATGATTTTTCCTTCGATTAGCCTCCTCCCTTCTAGTGGCAGCCTGCTTTTTCTGACGTTCTCTTCTCACTTTCTCATAAGCCCGTTGAACCATATTTGCAGCTTGAGCAGTAGATGCAGCATCATTTGACTCAAAGAAAGGAGCCCGTTGGAAGTTACTGTGATTGGATGAATTACTGCTATTAAACCCTGCAGATGGTGGCTCAATTTCTGTTGCAAAGTAGGCCTCAAGGCAATTTGGGCACAGCAGATGTTGGTTAAGATACATCCTGAGATATTCATACTGCATCTTGCATCGATGGCAGACAGTCCAAAATGTACGCCGTCCCTTCTTACGAGATGGAGCTGGACCAGATGAGGCATCCCTCTTACTAGAATTACCCTTTGGAACCTTCGTTTGTGAAGCTGCATTTTTTGCATAGCTGTAAAATCCATTTTGCTTTGTTGGTGGTGTGTACCCATTGGCAGTCTGATTCCTCTCCTGGAATGTGGTACCATACTTCTGGTCATATTCTAATCTCTTGGACTTATCAGACAGCAAACTCCAGGCTTGTGAAACAAGTTTAAATGCCCCTTCTGCCCCAACAGATTTGTTCTTGTCAGGATGAAGCAGAAGAGCAAGTTTTCTATATTGTTTTCTTACTGTCTTGTCATCAGCTAAAGGAGTAGCACCGAGTACAGCGTACCAGTTATATTCACCATTTATTTTCTCCTCAGCAGAAATATAAATCTCGAATGTCCTCACCAACTGAGAAATTCCCTCAAGCCCAGGATATAGATTCTGAGCCTTGAGAGCAAATTTTTTCGCTGCCTCAATGTCCTTATCCAGAAATTTCCTCTCAGCAATCTCTTTTGCTCTCACAGCCTCATCTCTATTACATTCCATCTATGGTCTGCCCCTCTCTTCGCCACTTTAGAATTTTTCACCAAAAAAAAATGTCAACACTACTGGAAGTTTTTTTTAGATTCCAAGGCATCGCACTTCTTACATTCCAAAACCTAAATTTCCAGGAACTCCAATACCTGAGCGACATAAACAAATGCATATAACCCAATTCAGAAAACACTAAAAATAGAAAACTAGTCCTACATAGGCATTTTCCATTATGCCATGACAATTGGACAAATCTAACAAATAATAACCACACAGCTTAGCATGCATCTATTAAATCAAAATTACAATAAAACCAAGAGCAGCATGTAAAGTAAAAATGTCCAGGCCAACAGCATTAGCATAATTAGAAACTTCGTTCGATTCATTTTTCCTGGACCTTGAAGTGGCATTAAAATTAACATTTCTCTGAATCTATCCATCATCAAAACTTAAGGCGACCAGGAAAAATCTAGCTGATAACAGTTCCTCCAAATAAAAATAATAATAATAAATAAAATAAAAATAAAAATATTCATATATAACATCTTAAATCAATATCCATATCCATATATACATAATATCACAATGTTGCATGATACGTTCAATTATAAACTCTAAACATTTACAATTATGGGTGTGAGTGTCTTTTATGTATCATTGTTCCAAAGCACAAAAATTGACCATAGAACCCAGTTGAATAAGAAAAAACATTAGTTTTGTTCACGTAATGATTGAATAAGAACAATGAAGAATTTCTACCTTTAACAATTATTTCTAAACAATTATTTCAAGCCTCAACTCCCAACTCAGATTTTCTACATTCATCAATATACACCCAAGTCACCAACTACAATTTTGTTCTTGAATATGGGTGAAGGTCTCATGAATGGAGATCATGGGTCGATTTAGCAGTAACATAAATTCCAGAAATGTGGTTTGGAAGACTTCTAAAACTATATAGTTTACTAACAACATACATCATGATCATGCCAGATGGCAAAGCTATTAGGAACGATGGGAATAGAATTTAAGTAATAGAGCATGACCTATCATTCCCTTCTTAAGTTGAGCTTTAAATACTTATAATGATAAGATTCGAAATGTTAAATCACCTCATCTAAAACCTTATATTCAATTGGGCTCTGAATTTTAATAAAGTCTAAATATAGGAATTTTTCATTGTATCATGACATAATTTGGATAAATCAATTATTTCAAAACTTGTTAGAGGCTTGCATCTTGAGCCTCACGTATGGTTTTCATTGAATCCCTCAAAGCTTATGACATAAGCTCCAATGCCAACATCTTGCAAGGTTTTTTTTTTCCCCCCCTCCTACATTTACACATAATGGCAGGAGAAGGCACCATTACAGAAGGAGGACAATACCTAGTTCTATGTTTGATTTAAGTTAAACTTATTACTCTTAATTTGCCTTATTACGAATATTTAAGACGGTTTAAGATTTGTAATCAACTTATTTTTTTACTTACATATTATGTTGAATTAATTATTGGTTTGAGGTTTATGACTCATGATGCCTCAAGGTATGCATCTTACCTCATAGAGGTTTTTGTCTCTTAGATATTGGACAAAAATAACTAATTAGGATTCGAAAGTACAAGTTAGTGTGCATATTAAATGAAAATTGCAACAAAACCAAGAGCAGAATCTGAATAAAGAATGCCCAGAGCAATAGCAAAATTAAAAACTTGATCAATTCATTTCTTCTAAACCTTATTGTGTCCATTAAATTTAACATTACTCCAAATCTATCGATCATTGAAACTTAAAAGCCTGATCTGATTATGAGTTCTTGATACTAAAGTGACTTAACAAAAACCATAACATCAAAAATCAATGTCCTTATGTGCGAGATATCATATCTTGCAGGTACAATACACAAAAGTACAATAGCGTGTGAATCGATTTATCTAGTAACAACCAAAAAATTCGAATTTACCATATATCCTACCTAATAAGTAGAAAGCGTTAGCTTTTCTCATTTTGGCAATAATGGTCAAAGAATGCCAATCAAGAATTTCCACGGCATTCTAAGAATACTAGTTATACATTTGTTTCAATCTCAGCTCTCTTTTCAAAATTCTTCGATATTCTATGTCATCAACAACAAATATTTTTTTTCTGGAAAACAAGTTAAGATTTCGAGAATTGAGACATTTTTCAGTGGCATAAGTTCCAGAGATGTTTTGTCATGATTCAGGGGCTGAGCAACCTGGGGTCTAGCAAGGACAACTGACCCCATTGGGTATTTACCGATCACACTTGAGGGGCAGCTAGTTATAAAGGCAAGGAATAACCCGAAAATAACAACATTTTTTTTTTCTGTATTACTAGTGAAGAGTTCGAGAATTGAGACATTTCAGCGGCATAAGTTCCAGAGATGTTTTGTTGTGATTCAGAGGCTGAGTCATCCAGGGTCTAGTGAGGACAACCGCCCCCCCCCCCCCCCCCCCCCNTAGTGACGTTTGATTGCTCATCAAACTTCCTAAAATATTTTCAATTGTTCATTAAACTTTAAAAAACATTTTCGATCGTTCACTAAATTTTGAAAACATTTTCGATTGCCACCAAATTTCAAGGTGATCAAATTTTGGTCACTAAACTTATAAAAATAATTTCGATCTAATGTTCGTTAAAAAAAAAATGTAATGCAATCGCAAATATAGCATAAAAGTAATAAAGTGAACAAAAGAATTCGAATTGTTGATTTCTTGAGAAATGAATATTCAGTTACACAATAGTTAAATTTAATTTTCAATACATTTTGTAGAATTTTAAGCTATTTTCATCACTTGAAAAATTCAAATTTATTGTGTATTTCGTTATTAAAATTAAATTTATATTTGAATTTTGCAACAAAACACAATAAATTTAATTAAATGGATTTTATAATGAAACACACAATAAATTTAATTAAAATTTAGATTTTCCTAACGAAACACAATTCATTTATTGGAATGACCAAAAGTGAATAAAATTCATTTGATTAAATTTATTGTGCATGCATTAATATAATTTTAGCTACGTAATATACAATAAATGTGAATATTTCAAATGCTGAAAATAGCTTAAATTTTTACAAAAAAAAAATGTTAAAATTAAATTTAACTATTTTGTAATTGAGTGATCATTTCTCATGAGATCGACAGCCAGGACTCATTTGTCCACTTTATTACTTTTACGCGATCTGTACGATTGTTTTACGTATTTTTTAATGAACAATAAATCAACATCATTTTTATAAGTTTAGTGGCCAAAATTTGTCGACCTCATAGTTCAGTGAGAAATCGAATACGTTTTTCAAAGTTTAGTGTGCAATCGTAGACATTTTCCAAAGTTTGATAAGCAAACGAAAACGTAACAATTTGTTAATGGCATGACAAGGCGCCACATATATATTTTGTTAGCCACGTCACTATTTCCGTTAAAGAATTGGAAATGATGTTAAGGTAGTGTGTAACGTCCAAGGTTTTAATAAGTTAGTGGTTAAAACTCAATATTTTAAATTTCAGTGAGCAATCGAAGATATAGAGTTTGTTTGCCACAGATTTTAAGCCAATTAAAATCAATTTTTTGAACGTTATTTCATTTTTCAACCGTCATTTTTGAATTCTTCTGTAGGACCTACTTTATTTCTAAAGGTTAAAAAATCAATTATCAAAATTCCTACCAAACAAGCACATAGACATAAATTTAGTGACAATTAGGACAATTAACTCCTTCAAACAGGTGTGAATTACGATTGGCTTTTAACTGGACTTCACAAGGCTTACAAAAAATTTCAGAAAAAAATCACAAGTCAAGCATTAACTATGAGGAAATTTAATTTTTAGATTTAAGTTTTAAAAATCAAGTACTAATTAATTAATTAAAAGTATTTTATTAAACTAATTAGCCACAAGCCACATATTATCAAATTAATTAGTCACAAATTATTTTATCGATCACAAATAAAAAAAAGTTTATAGGTCAAATTCAATTGTCAGTCACAAATTATCGAATTTTTATATTACAATTAAATAGTTGGTCATATATAACCATATAGTTAGTCACATACTCCAAATAGTTGATCACATACAACCACCATCACCACCAACACTACAGTCACAATCACCATGACTACTTGTGATTACCCTCACCCCACCACCACGGCCATTGCTAGCACCACAACACCGATACCACAACATCAACACCAACAAAATCACTACCACCAGATCCAATCCACTACTAACAAAAACCACTACAACCACCACTATTAGGTCTTCAACCACCAATAACCACCACTTTAACACTCTACAACAACCACCATTATCATACAATTGCCACAACCACTAACAACCCAACAACCAAGCAAATCACCAACAATGAAAACCAAAAAAATCTGTGTCCTGTCGTCGTTGCATAGCGTCGCTGTTGTGCAGGGTTGCGGGCACCAACGCTCACAGAGCCGTCATGTTCGACAATAGGTGAAGCATGTCTATGAGGTGGTGCTCGACATGATACTTCGATAGTGAGAAAGACTGAGAAGAGAAAATGTGTGCAACGATCTTCGAAAGTGGGTGCATCTCTGTTGTAAGCGCTGACATCTCTGGCAATGGGTGGAGCGTCGCTGTGAGTTGGCGCTCAGCGTGATGTCCGGAGTGAGAGAGAGCGAGAAGAGAAAGTGTGTGCACGATGCCAGTCTCCAATGGTAGGTACGTCATCGTCGCATGTGTGACGACAGTCTCCGACAATGGGTGTGTCGCAGTCACCATCGCCAAATTGAAGGGATGTTGATAGGTAGAGAGAGTGAGAAGATAGAAGATAGAGAGTGAGAATAGAATGAAATGATTTTTAGGGTTTGAAATTGAATTTGGTTGAGATATTTAATATTTAATTCTTATATTAATACTTGGTATGTGAATAAATAAACTTTATAGCTTATTTAAAAATTGCAATCTTTATATACCTGTTAGCATGTAATTTCCAAAACAAAATCACGTAATGACTTCTATTAGGTTTCAATTAATTTTACTTGTGCAGCAAGCAAGTCACAAATACGTTTGAGGAAATTACCATCAAACCTTCTCTTTATCTTCCCATTTCAAAAATCAAGTACAAAATTTTATCTTTCAAAATTCAGGTGCCCCCATCCCTAGTCCCGTTCCACATGCCCAACTCCCCCACCCCACGCCCCAGTACTTTACCCACAAAGCCAAAAAATCTCCAAAGCCATGAAAGCTAGCCACCGTCGTTTCTCTTCATTTCTTCCACCATCATCTTCTAATTCCTCTAGTTGGCTTACACCACCTTCGACATATATCAACACCATCCACAAATCTTTCATCCACTACCTCAAATCGACCTCGTTGTTTTTCCTATATCTACATTTCGACGCACCCACCTTCTCCACGTGTGACATTGGTGTATTTTTTTCAACGGGATCCATGAGTAGCAACGTACGATTTTGAGATCTAAGTGGAGGTGGGGGTGTGGTGAAGCAGTAATAGTGGTTGTTGATATGGGCTTGATTGATAGCTGCGATGTGAAGAAATTTGGGCTACATGTTAAAGGAATCGATTGATGATTGTGGGAAAGATGGCCCTCCGATGCTACAGTAAGCAATTTTGTTGTGGATTTATGGTGGTAGTGGTGATTTTGAATTTCATATGGATGTGGTGATGGTTACGGTGACAATGGTGCTATGCAAGGTATCAACCCTTACACATTGGTTATAAACTAATTATTTATAATCAAATTACAAGTTGTGCCGCGCTGTGATTCTCAAAGCAAGTACACAACTTACCTTATTTGAAGTGCTCTTATTCATTATCCATGCAATCCGACAGCTAAAAAGTAACAACACACAAGTGCATAGCATTAGTAGTAGTAGACTTTCTTTGCTTCCGACTTGGAACTCTTATTTTTTATTCGTTCAAATAATAATAATTAAAACAAGCATTTGTTTAGGGACCCACATATTATTGTTAACGTTTTCAAAAAGTTGTGCGGGTGGATTGGATCAATTAACCAAAGAATTTATGGTCTAACACAAAACTTTCAAAAGAATCAGATTGATTCCTAATATTTTATTATATATGTACAAATCTGTTCTTAATGACATGAATAATCTAAGTCTTTGTTAAATTGTCAAGAGATCCTTGGTATCATAGATACGAATTTCATCTTGTCCAATGAAAGTTAGCGATATCATGAAAATTGTACGATAACTAATAGAATATTTGGCGATATTGGTAATTGAATGATATGTCAAGGGCTAACTCCCTACTTTTTAGAGATTAAAGTTTAGTTTGCTATTGATATAAATATTGGATGAGAGTGAAGACGAAGGTTTATAGTGAAATTTGAATTTCCACTAATTTTAAAAGTGAAGTGAAGTGAAGTGCCCCTTGTCCCTGCGCGAGCCACCATGGTGAGCCCATTTACCACTTTTATGCGTGTAAAAGAAAATCTTCCATTTTTATGATTGATTGGATTTGGTCATTTGGTGTAGGCATGTATGGATGCCACTTGTTGCAATAATCATAGGCTTGGCTTTATTAACCAACCTTTTGGTCTTTGTTTTGGAGGAATTCATTATGTACATATATTTTCGAGAGAACATTATGAAGTGAAAGTAGGTGGAATAGGATAGATTCTCAAATCCAATCAGCTTGGATGTTGAGTTATTCCAATAAGGCTAAAAAAAATTAAAGTTTAAGTACGTAATGTGTTACTCACTATATTATATTAGCCATCAAAAGCAACACGTGGAAACTTCACTAACGTCATCTGACACCTGTTGTCTATTCTCTGAGGTCAACATAATGTTACCTGAAATTTTAACTTTGGACTATGGTGTATGCAACTATTCTCTAAATATAAAAGGTTTAAAGATTTATCCTTCAAACTTTTTTGATATTCACAGTATATGAGCTTGTTTGGTTCAAATTAAAATCTGATTTTAATTTAATTTAAAGTCAAACAATCAATATTAATTATATCTTTCATGGATCCTACAACTTTTTAATCACACATTTCAAAAACTTGTATCCCAATATACTAAAAAATCTAATTTTATTCCCCACCAAATACTCTCTATGCTTCAAAACACTGCGTGTCCTACGTAAGTTGTTGACAAACTACTAATCATGTTAGAATTACATTTGTTTGTTAAATAAGATTTGACGAGAATTAGGTAAGTGACTTGGAGGTTTTATCGGATTCTCACTCAACTTCTTCCTGTTTAGCTACGTGGCAGTTGTTATCCACAACAATATTATAAAAAATAATGTTATATAGCATTACCAATGTTATAACATCAATATAAATGGCTACCAATGATAAAAACATCTTAAACGTGAGTTAATTTTTTATTTCTAAAGTAATATATGTAACTTCTATTAAAAAGGAGAAGTAGTTGCTATTGTAGAAGGAATAATAA